TGGGGTCTCGCTCTTCCTTAGGCTGGTCTCAAACTCCTGACCTTGAGCAGTCCACCCGCCTCGGTCTCCCAGAGTGCTAGGATTACAGGCGTGAGCCACTGTGCCCGGCCTATGTCAGGTGTTTTTGATTTGAATATCACACAAAAGAAATCTGAGAAAGCATTTAGAATCACAGTTGTACTGCTGTTTTCCATTTTCAGTCACTGATAAATGAGATGAAGTTCTTAACAGAAAATATGTAGAACTTTATGTTTTACGTACATAGTTCATTTAACTCTCACAACCTAGTTATGTTGGTGATGTTATCCTCATTCTATGCGTTGGAAAAATAGACTTGGGAAGGTTTAATTGAATTGCCCAAGGAGTTACTAAGTCATAACTTTAAGTCCCAAATCTCCTGCACTGTACAATATGCTGTCATCCTGTCCCTAAACGAAGTTGTAATTAATTTAGAGGAAATACACATTTTCACATTTCAAATATTGATCACAAATATCTCTGCACAAATGACGTGAATACCACAATGTTTTTTCCAATGTTTATTATGCACCATGCTAATACTAATGATGGCCATGTTTGAATTCTGACTTGCCATCTTACCTATAAAGTTAAAAATGGTTAAAGCCTGATACTGTCTTCTTTTAAGCAATGTAGAATAATTGCATATAACTATTGGGATATAATTTTTGATGGATTGGAGTATTCTTGACCTTTCTGAAAAGATTGCAAACTTTAATAGAAACATATTTAGAGCTCTAAATAAAACCTGATATTTAACTAAATATTGTAAAACCCTTTTTTTTAGAGATAAAAATAACTAAAGAATCTTATGGACTCACTTGTGGTAGTATGAATAAATAACACTCACTATCTTTGATACAACTTTCACTTTATGTTATTACTATTTCTTTTTTAGCCCCTAGGAAACCAAGCCCTAAGGGTCTACCGAACAGAAAGGGAGTCAGAGTGGGATTTCGCTCCCAGAGCCTCAATAGAGAGCCACTTCGGAAAGATACTGATTTTGTTACAAAACGGGTTCTTTCTGCAAGACTGCTAAAAATCAATGAATTGCAGAATGAAGTATCTGAACTCCAGGTCAAGTTAGCTGAGCTGCTAAAAGAAAATAAATCTTTGAAAAGGCTTCAGTACAGACAGGAGAAAGCCCTGAATAAGTATGAAGATGCAGAAAATGAAATCTCACAACTTATAGTTCGCCATAACAATGAGATTACAGCACTCAAAGAACGCTTAAGAAAATCTCAAGAGAAAGAACGGGCAACCGAGAAAAGGGTGAAAGATACAGAAAGTGAACTCTTTAGGACAAAATTTTCCTTACAGAAACTGAAAAAGATCTCTGAAGCCAGACATCTACCTGAACGAGATGATTTGGCAAAGAAACTAGTTTCGGCAGAGTTAAAGTTAGATGACACTGAGAGGAGGATTAAGGTAAATTTTTGACAGCTTCTAATTGTTCTGTCTTGGGTCGTTTCTCATTGGGCGTTTAACGTACTCTGTTTAAACTACTTATTGCAGTTCGGTGTTTGCTTGGAAATGAAAACTATTTTTAGTGTTATCTTTCTGAGTAAGAGATAAATTTAAGATTGTATATTTAAGAGCAAGATGCCAAAGATTGTTTATGTTAATGAGACACATGTTGATGGATGAATGTTTAATTCCTTGGATCTTAGTCATTTTGGGAAAATATTCTATTTGATTATCTGATTGTTTCTCTAAAGTTGAAAATGATGCTATAATAGACATAGTATATAAAACTGATGTTTTGGGGCCTTTATGTAAGAAATGTCACATGAACAATGCTTTTTGTTTTTATTTCTTTGCATATTATTTAAGAGTGACAATAGTACATATCTTGAGGTAGGGTATGCTCTACTCCCCAAAATAAAAACTGATAGGAGGGTGGGTAGGAGACTATTGAATAACTAGTCTAGGAGTACAGCAGATCTTTTAAAAATGTTTCTTTCTTGAATGGAGAGAGGAAAAGAGTTCTGTACCATGACTTTTACACAGGGAACTTACATCAGATGCCATCTGCTATATATAGATCATACAGAAACCCTGAGTCAGGTTCTGTTGCTTAAAATTGACAAGTAGTTTGGAAAGCAAAGGTAGGAAAAAGTACGGAAATAATGCCTGCTGTGAGAGTTCTCCAAGCAAAGGAAGCTTAGAACTATAAATAAATTAGACTTCTGAATACATTAATTTGGTATTTTTAATACATGGCATGTTACAATACTTAGTCTGTATCATATGCCATGCCCATTATAACAGTGCCATGCCCAGCAACAGTGGTTTATTAAATACAGTGTACTTCAGTGGCCACAAAAGTGCCTAATTTACTCTCCAAAATTTGCAATTATTATCTTCTGTTTAGAACACAGGAGATATCCTATTATATAGGCTCTACTAATGATCAGCTCATAGTGCAAAGCAAACATACGGAAACTTTTTTTCTTAATAGCCACTTACTCATGGGTGGGGTGGGAATGAGTACTGGAAGCAGTTGTCACCATACACAACAAATAACTTAACATTTTAATTATTTTTAAAGGGAAATATGCCACATAATGGATTTTAAAATTAGGAACGAAGAGCCTAGGTTGCTAAATAACAAATATGGTAAATAACTGAGTATGTTTGTGTATAAAACTACATGTATAGAGAGAACATAAAATTACAGTGCACACACACACACACACACACACACACACACACATAAACCCCCCCTCCCCCATATCCTGCAGTTCTCTTATATAGCCAGTTATGCAGGGGATTGATGAGTGGTGGGGAAGGAAGAGAAAGAAGTGAGGAAAAATGGGAATTGGCTTGTGTATTCTGAATTGTAGATGGAGGTAAATTGTTAATACATGGCTGCTCATTTGGGAGTGTGAAAATTGGTCATCTATAATGCTAAGTCTTTGAAATAGTTAACCATATAGTGTCCTCAATTTTTTATATTGGATTTTAAGAAATTTTTAAATTAACTTTCTATTTTTAGTTAATTGTAGATTGACATGCACTTATAAGAAAATTATATAGAAAGATCCCATATACCTTTCATGAAGTTTCTTTTCTTTTTTTTTTTTTTTGAGACAGAATCTCAGTCTCTTGCCTGCGCTAGAGTGCTGTGGCATCAGCCTAGCTCACAGCAACCTCAAACTCCTGGGCTCAAGC